AGTGAAACTATTATCGGTTTTGTACTCTTTGGAACATATTCCTAGACTTATTTTTGTTATTGATAAAATCGACGAAAAGGAATAGATCGTATATATCTCATGCCTTTACGTGATACGCTTCAAATAATTTTGAAATGGATTTTCTATCGAGAGTTTGAGTAATGAAAGGCTTTTATGTAGAGTYTCGCAGGTTAAAAGCATTTACATCATCACATATGCGATTGCAAGTGTCTTTATCTTCATCTAATGAAACTGTGAAGTGTATTTCCTAGGAAGTATTTTAAAAATGAAAAGCTCTATATTTATAATCTTCAATACGAGTCAAACTGTTAAAAGAGAAGTTAAAAGCTTCCTGCACGTTTTWAAAATCGYCAACGAAAAAAATCCATTGTCTATAGGTGATGTCCTGGAGTTCAAATCTCACACAGATTACATCATATACCTCATACTTTTACTTATTGGACTATGTTTTCACTTGATAGAGCTAACGCTAACTATGTATTAATGCAATAGTGCTTAAAAACGAATGTCGATTCCACTTGTCATCCATTCACACTCTTGAAGCAGGAAGTATGGAGCTCAAAACACAATAATGTCAGGTTATGAAACAAACAACGACAATAGTYTTAACTAAAATATAACGTATTTATTGGTTCAAGAAATCAGTCTTTTTCAGTGCCTTCCGTAATTGAATATACAGAGTGATCGATAAATACTGAAAAGGGTGCGTAGATTATCATATCACTGTTATTTTTAGAAATTCTATTATTTTCGTTTTCGTTTGGCATGATTATGGTTTCCTCCTCACAACTTWAATACRTATAGATGTAGTGTTGAAATAAAAGCGAATAGTGCGGTTTTYWCACCATAACTGTTTTATTGCTAAATCAACAAACTTCGACTGGTGTATTTTCTTGTTTTTTATGCTTGTTTAATCAAGACTTACGTATCCAAGATACACTGATAATCGCCGAAGAAAAAAAGTGCTAATAGAAAAGGAAAGTGATTCATTAAACTCTAGATTATTATTTTTTTGTCTAGTATAAACAAAATGTAGCATTTCACTTTGTCCGGGTCTGTTTATTCAAGACGTAGACGTCGCCAAGATACTGTGATACCCAGTCAAGAAAAACTTGAATTGATAGAAATAATCAAGCCGGCGTGATTCATTTAACTTTTCTTTTTCAACTAATAGTATAGCATTTTCCCAAGGCCGTGATCATCAGACTTAGGTTTCTATGGATACGATGAATACATTCACACAGTACTCAGTCAAAAATATGATAATTGTATCAGAAAGGTTGATACATTCTACATTTTAATTAAAATTCATAAACGAAAATGTCACTTGAAGACCTCTTAAGGTAGTGAATGGACTTTTTATTTCATTAAGATCTACCACAAATATTGGCGGTTTGCGCTGTTTCCAGCTCTAAAACTTGCGCTGTTTCCAGCTCTAAAACTAATGGTTTTACATTGATATAAAAAAATACAATTTCTTTTTCTGGTCGGAGATGAACAAATCAATTTCGCAAGGGATGTGTTTAACGGATTAAAGTAATTGAACGAAATACCGCCTAATATATACAAAGGTGACTTTACTGCAGCCAAAATCGATTTAGTCATCAATTTAATTGAACTTTACAAAATGGAAAAACAGTAAGAAGTTCCGACATATTATGGTAAAAATATTTTATGTTTCTAGTTATGATGAAACACTGTGAAAATAAAGTAGGGATAGCAGTTCGATTGACTTAAAGTCGCTTTGGTTGCTTTGAAGAAAGTTCATTTTTCAATAGAAGTGTTAAAAATACAAATTGCTTGGTTATAAGTGGGTTAATTTGCGCAAAATGAACATTCATATTTGTCAGATTCAATCTTGAAAGTCGCATCTTCAATTGTATTTTCAAGCTGATTTCAGTGCACTATTTTCATAATTCCTTTATCGATAAAGCATGTTTTTATGGATCTAATAACATTAGCCTTAATTCTGTCATCACTCCACATAATCACTTCTTATATTGTGCTATTTCCATTTCTGATATTGGGTGAATTGTACATTTGGCATTAAATGAAATTTAAGTTTTCCTTTAGATAATGAGCACACATAAGAATATCAAACACTCAATTTTGTCCCMAAAATCRCGGTTTTCGTTATTCCTTCTTTACTAGATTTTCACTATGATACATTCAGTTTCGCGGCGTCGAATTTCATCCCTTTTTAGCTTGTGTAACGTATTGGCGAATAATCACCACTCTCCCTCAACAGTAGTTAGTATGCTATCAATAGATTGAAGATCTCTAATACTTATTGATAGTCTATTAATTAAGGAATCTAAAACGGACACCAACATATAAACACATAAAGCAGAGACGATAGCGTTGCGAGTCTCTTGGTTTTTGAGTACCCCCCTATTGTCCAAGCTCTCCTGTTCTCGAGTGTTCTCCTATTTCTGGCTTTTCAGGCGCAACAACCCGCRAGCTATGTTCGTTTCTAGTTCACCTATGAACACTTTTATCATCCAATAAGGGCGCGAGTAATCAACAAATATGTCACAATGAACAGCAGACATAACATAAAATGATATAATTAAATATATAGGTATGTTTTTAGCATAAAAATAAAGTCTTACTTTTTTGAAGAGGTGCCTTGTGCATCAGGTTCAGGTAAATCATAAAGTAGAGTCCACTAATAGCTCCCAAAGGCAACACATACAAAGCAACAAAGATGAAATACGTATAGACTCGTACCAGCTGCACTGATCCAATCATAGGCAAGTTCTCRATACATGCTCCATCTTTGTCGATCTTCGCAAAATAAAGCATCGGAGTGGCAACAAGTATTGCTCCAGTCCATATAGCGATGATAATATAGAAGGCATGTCTTGTTCGCATTCTTGGTTTTAAAGGATGTACGATAGCTCGGTGTCTGTCCGCCGCTATAGCAATAAGAGAACCCACAGACGCAGATAGGGTCATTCCCATGAGAGATGTTACAATCTTACATATAACTAAACCAAACGGCCAATCGGCCAGCTTAAGTCTTAGTATGTTTAT